CCAAGCAACTGGCTGGAGACCTCAGCTCGGCTTTAAGGACTTAGGCAGAGCCAGGGTTTAGGGTTTTGGGGTTTAGGGGTTTACGGTTTAGGGTTTAGGGGTTTAGGGGGTTTCGGGCTTAGGGGGACCCCTTGGGGATATAGACCCTCTCAATATGGTCCCGTTTGAGAGAGCCAGAAGTAGGGTGAAGAAGGTTTCCCTTTAGGGGATCTCCCCCTAGCCCAGCACTACCTAGGAAAAGTTAAAGTTTTACGGCTTTGGGTTTAGGGCCTATGGTCCAAAGATCCGAAAGCCCCTGGGAGGTTCCTGGGTGGTTATAAAAGGGGTCATGAGTCCTCAATTATCGGTTATAACTATAGCTACTTCTAACCCTACTTATAGCTAATCATGAGTCTCCAAGTAATGAATAGACCTCGTTGTAATCATACCTTTTAATATCATTAGTGTTGTCGTTGCTGTTATTGTTCTTATCAGGCATCTTGCTTTACCATGTCTCATGCTCCATATGGCACCAAGTATATACTTTGGCCGTACAGAATCCCTTTGAGGCCCAAGCATACACCAGGAAAATACGAGGACCCTTGGGGACATTCAGCGACATGTTACAACTGCTATGGACCTTTTGTAGGTTTGGCTCCGGGGGACACGCAAAACCAAGACGTTCGCAATCACCGGCCAGAAGTATAGTTGCACGGTTTGGGGGATTTACGAAACCCCATATAGGGTTGCCGGGCTGAGGGGACCTGAACATCGTAGAACATCACCCTCCATTTCCCCATCACCATCCCAACCACGGCCCTCCGGAGTTACACCTTGTTCGGACGCTGTAAAGATCTGTACAGTCAGGAAGGTGCACCAGCTTGGAACATCAAGACTGCTTTTAATTTTCTATGAAAGCTAGGACTGGGGGAATGAGAGTTGCTGCGGGCAGTCTGCTGCATTCCGGTTGCAGTTATGCAGTTGAAGCCGATGAAACTGGCGGGCCCGCCTCAATGCACAGCTGTGGCGCCGTGGCAAGCTGGGCCACGAAATGCTTGAAGTCCTCACAGACATGGGTAGGTCTCTAAAGTAGGGTCCCTATCTGGGTGCCCAACAATTAGTACGGCACCCTTATAAAAAGGACCCTAACTACGAGCCGTATTTAAACTAGCCACATGGAAGATGGATTCTCTACAGTCTCTGCGGCGAAGGGGTCTTCGGCTTCGACGAAAGTGAAGCTCGAAGAACTAGGATGATTTCCGAACCAGAAACCATCCGAGCCCTTTAGGCTCCACACGCCAGCCCTGAGGCACTCAGTGTACCTACATAGAGACATAGTATCTATACTACTTAGGCCCGAAAAGCAAACATATAGGGAACAGAAAAGCATCTTCTGCACCAGCTGCGATGTATCCCCACGTGCTAGAACCCAGACTCCGTACTGCACTCTTGCTTCAGGAAAGGTGTAAGGCCAAAACCGACAAAAGCTCAACACAAAGTCTACACCCCATTATGGCAATCCTCCTCGTAACCCGAATGACTCGCATGATAGCTCGTTTTCTTAGCCGCAGCCCACATACTCTGGCTGGCCCTTTTAAAGCCTCTGAAAAATATTGGTAAATAGGGTCCTCTTAAGCCCAATAAGGGGAAAATATAAAAAATATCCCAAAGGCCTATACCTAGCTTAATCGTTATAGCTCCTCGAGGCTCGCCGACTGCACCGCTTGGCGTTTACGCGACCGGCGCTGGAAGTCGTATCGTTGGCGGCTGACCTCGGAGGCGCGGGATGCAGAGCTAGGGCCTTGCAGGAGTCCAACTTCAAGGGTTTAGGACTAATAGTCATTTTTTTGGAAAACCTGGGATTTTAACTAATAGTTATTTTTTTGCCTAACTCGGGCTATGGGGCTTAGGACTTAGGGTTTAGGGGTTAGGGTGCTAGGGTTCAGGTTGTAGGGTTGTTCTCGCTCTCGCAACTCGGACTCCGCCAGACGAGGTCTCTCAATCCATCACCACTTCAACGATCACACTAAGAGCTGGCGATCATTCCTACGCCACAAAAAAATTCCAAAATCACAATGTCAAAGGTTTTAGGGTTTGGGGTTATCCGGATTGTTCTGCTGGTCTGCAGTCATGAACCAGTCCTGTGCAAGCCATCTCCATGCACTCTGCACTGGTAAACCCTCTCCCTCTGCTGCAAAGTCGCTTCGTTCCAGTATCTGGAGTTCTCCTCGCTCAGGTTCTTGGGGGCCTCCGACAGAATCGAGACAAGTCCTTCGCACGGAAACGCACTTAATATGGGGCCGTAATGGGCTGCTGGGGTGCTCTGTTGTCTAGTTCTCGTCTAAGAGGGAGCTTAAGGGACTAGCACTACTGCTACGGCTACGGCTACTACCAGGTTACTAGGTTTCGAGGCCCCTATCTGTGATCATATTTGTATTTACATATAGGGGTTATGCATTTTGCCTTATAGAGGTTCCTTTTCGGGTACTCTAAGGCTCAGGAATATACAAACAAAAAAACATGAACCTCAAGGACTGTAGATGCAGATGCCAATCGCTCAATGAATCGCGAATTGAAATCAACTTCCTGTATCATCCGGACCTGAATACCGTGAAAGCTTCCCGAATAAAGCATCCGACCAATTCCTACATACTACCCTGCACCCCATAAACCTTTTGAGCGCTAAACCCTAAACCCTATATACCAACACTCTAAGCAACAGGTTGCCTTCCCGGACCTTGGCAAACTCCATCTCCTGGCTTCGGCGCGCCATTACGGCTTCAGGTTCTGTGATATCGGCATCAGATGTGGGTTCGGGTTTAGGAATTTCGGGTTAAATCGGCTTCCTCATCTCAAACGGCTCAGTTCCACCGGCTCCAAACTGACTGCTGCAACCAACAAAATCAAGCCCGAACTGGGCACTAGGCGCGAACTGCTGACAAAAACTGTGTTGTGTTTTGAAGTGCTGCCAATTGCCAATCAACTCAATACATGCGTCTGACGTGCGGCTTCAGGATCGCGGGTGGAGAAAAGACGTTAAGCTTGTGTCAGGACTGACTGAGGTCCACCATCCAGACCACTGATCTAGTAGCGAAGGGCCCTGGATTACCTGTACATAGCACAGAGTAGCTTTCCTACATTGGCAAAACAATTGTGGCTTAGGTACAGATCTTCCATATACTCATATAACCCTTAGTTGAGTAAAGTTTCACACGCACCAAACTTGCCCGATACAGCGCCGATAGATAAATAGACAGATAGACAAATGGATGGATGGATAGAGTCAAAAACCACGTAACGGGTCCGTCAGCTCTTCTTGCGCCCAACGGAAGAGGTCTTTCAGGCACTCTTCGATACGGCCTGCGTCGCTCTGTGCTAGGTTTAACTGTCCTTTCTGGTGGCAAATCACTTGCACATCGACTTCTGCAATCTGGTGTTGAGGTTGGGTAAAGGCCTCACAAAAAAGGTGGCAGAGTCTAGAGGTTATGTTCAACCATGCGCGGGCCGAGCGCTTCAGGAGTGTCGGGATCCCGTGGCCTGGTGGTTGGATGCAAGGCTTCTGTGCACTGACTGGCACATAGCCTCAAACCTCAAAACCCTCGTCAGCCCTGATCGAAACCCTGAACCCCAACAACATAATCAACTCTCCTTCCAAGGCAGACCCTGATTTAGGGGCCTTATCAAGAGCACACAGAGTCTTACAAGTAGAAACTACGTAACAATCTACTGGTACCTGTAGTCTCCAGCATACTTCCTTTTTGGGGTTATCCTGTAGGATCCTAAAAACAGAGATGGCTAAACCAAAAGGAACTATAATGACGATAATGGAGACAAAAGTTGACAAAAGGTAACGCCCCCCCCTGGGGGTCCATCCCCTCAACCCCTTTAGGCTCTCTTGGCGCCTCGCACATACGCGGGTCGGAACTCAGACTGCAGGATGCACTGGAGATGCAGAAATCCTGGATTTGATGAGATAAGGTTCGGATTTCATTAGGGGTTACTAACACGGTTGCTATGAGGTTGCTGTAGGGTTACTGCAAGGTCACTGTTGCTACTTAGAGGATCAGACGACTTAGTATCACAAGCAGCGTAGAGTTAGCAGCAACCGATTCGGATCTATCCTACCTAGGACACCCTACTTATACCTGCTTCCTAAGTCCGCTGGTCCTGTATAGGAAGGGGCTGAAAGATTGGAGATGTGTGTCTTGGGTGTACGACGTACGCTGTCAGGTTCAGGATTTGGTGTTTGGGTCGGACGTAGGGTCTATAGCACTTGGTATCTACGGTGGACCTTGTTCCTGAGGAGGGAAGCTTATGAAAGGCTTATGAGGGGTCGTCTAGCTTCCTTTGTTAGGCTTGCCCCAACAACTGAGCTCTATAGACTCCATGCACCCCCTTTTTGCCGTGATGAAACTTGCAACTCGACACATTGGGGTAGTTCTCTAAATAAATTAGGGCCATTATGGTCCCTTTTTCGGTCCGCAATATAGTACGGCACCTTTGCAAAAAGGACCCTGAAAGGGACCCTAGTTTAGAGAACTACCCATTGAAGTCGGCCGGAGCCCTGGTCCAAGAGTCCGGTGCCCTCTGCATAGCTCAGGTCCACGATGTAACCCAGCTGCTGCTTCGTGCGGAGCTCGAGGAAAACCTACCGGGAATGTTCGGTTTACGATATCTCACAACTCTGACTGTTCGGTTTAGGGTTTCAAGTTTCAAAAGCCCAGTACCACACCGAAGCCAGCGAGCAGATCACAAAGAAAGGTTGTCATTGCTGCACATTGCATGGAGCAGTCCTGGAGCCAACAGCAACTGTCTCCACACGATAGTGAGTAGGTCGCCTCGGCCTGTTTTAAACTTGTCAGAGGGCAAAATGCTCAACACTGCATGGAAAATTCTGCGAATTCGCTCCAATGTTCTGGGCATTAATTAGTAGAACCTTGAGCCAAGCAGAACGGCTCGTGCAGGTGCCGCCTTGTGCGAGCACCGTTATGCAATGCTGCGAGCTAGCCGCCCAGTTCACCTCACACTTGCTGGCCCGCTGCTTCTTGCTTGGCGGTATCGGTGCTGCTGCTGCTGCTACTGCTGTTGCTACAGCTGCTGCTGCTTTCTGTGCTTGACTTGGCCCCAGCTGGCGTCTGAAGAGTCTCCGGCACGCAAAGCAACAGCCACACGACGCCAAGCAAGCCGATGGCACCTGCAACCAGAAGCTACTCTAAAGGTTAAGGGTGCCAGACCCTGAACCCTGATCACCCTCGTGTGGCACCTGTGGTGAGCTCTGCCACCTCAAGGGAGGAGGCAGTGGTCAATATGCCGAGGAACGCCGGAGTGATAAAGTCCAGGCTGGTGAACAGCAGCCGATACACTGCAATGAAGGCCCCCTGCCTGGTAAAACTAGCATCAGCTTCGCGCGAAATAGGATCAGACTCTGAACGGTGCGAGAAAAAAAGCCCCAACCCAACAGCCCAAACTGCAACTCCGTTCAATTCGAGGCGCCCGGGGCCCTGGGGGGCGAGGTCAGCACCAAGCGTCATCAGCAGTCCCGAGCCCAAGCCGTTGCCCAAACCGGTCAGAACGGCTGAGGCGACCACAGCCGGAGGGTTCTGGAATGCGAGGAGCCTGAGCACACTTAGGGTTTAGGGCTAGAGATCCTGTGAGGGCTCGTTGAATTCAGGGTTTAGGTCCAGGAGTAGCCCACTCGGAAGCGTAAAAAGGCGATATTTTATGGAGCCAAAGAGCAAAAGTCCCAGGGACTGCAACGTGAGAGAGGCAACTCCGGCACTGCGCCGACCCCAAGAGTCCATGAGGCGTCCGGCGACCGGGGAGGCTAAGGTGTCAACCAAGAAAGACAAGGCTGCCTAACTCGTCCAGGACTCCTAGGAGACTAAAGGTTACCCTTATAATAGGAATTATAGTGGATTATATAAGGCAATATATAAGGGTTATTGTATGACCCCACAAAAGGTAAAAGGCTACAGTACTTACTGTACTACTAAGCTGCCACTTGCCCGATGACCATGTCGGAGAGGTTGGCTTCACGGCCAGCAAGGGAAAAGAAGAACTCCCGGCCTTTCCGAACACACTGAAGTGCGGCAGCAAAGCCGAGCACACGGACAAGTCGACCGCCATTCTCCCTCATGGCATCTCTGGCCTGGATAAATCCTGTGCTCTTCTTGCTAGGAGCCTCCGTCTCTGCTGTCGCAATCCTCAGGAAAGCAGCCGTCACCAGTGCTGCCAGGCCCGCACACGCCAGCTGCGCTGTGAAAACTGCTTGGATGTGCAGCTGCCCCTGCACATGGACAACTTAAGCAGCAATCGCACTCATAACGACTCCTGCTAGTTGTGGATAGTAAACATGGAAAAAGTAGTGATATTCATAATAACACAACATGAGCAGTATTGCTATGAACTCCAGTGTTCTCATGATCCCTGCCGCTTGCAAAAGAGATTGATACACTTCCAGTAACGGCTCATTTCCCTTCAGTGTTGCAGGACCCTAAACCCTAAACCCTTCAGTGTTGCTCCTGCAAAACTGCGCCCAAAGAGGGCCCCAGCATCAGCGATAGTCGCTGGAGGCCTCCCATGATACCTCAGTCACGGCATTCCTGGTTAAAGGAAACTAGAGGTGGGGAGTTCAGGGTATATAGGGCTTCTACAAGGCTTTTATAAGGTATATAGACCTTCCATAAGGTTCCTATAACCCCTGGCTCAAGAAAAACACAGAACGAGGACCCTCCTTGTACCCTCAAACAGGGGTCTATGATCCCATTAAGGTGTACTTAGGGTCTAATAGAGGGTAGATGGAGGGTCTAGGAAGCAATCTCGGTAATCTTGTAAGCTCTGGGGAATATTCCAATTCCACGAGTGCAAAATACAAAGATGTTGCCTTTGGGTGCCGTGAAGCTGAGTGCGAAGCCCCTCTTCCCAGTCTCCTTCGGCACCTGCAAGGCTGTCTAGATTTCAGCAGTTGTGGCATTTTTCACCAACTAGCATGGAAACGAAGCAACTGCGCTGGTGAACGCGAACTCACGGAAGAAAAAGTAGCCACTATTCACAGCCAACCATAAACAGTGCTGTCGCAACATCTAGCAGCCGAGTTGGCAATGTAAGTCTGCTGTGACAGGCCGCCCAATGAGTTTGCCGTGCCCAAAATGAAGTGGGACAGCATGAGTACGGCCAAACTCGTCACAAAGCAGATCCCAGCCGAAAGCAGGACGAGCGTGCAGGCCACAAGAAGGCAGCACCTGAAATCACAAATAGCTCCTCTTCCACTTCTTCTACTAGAACACGTCTCCTATCTAGCTTTGGACCCTAATTGATTCCCAGCTGCTTGCTACCGATGAGTGGGAGCAAGAACCCACGTTCGCTGCCATGAAGCCGATTCCATAGAGAGAACTCAGGAAACCAACATCCTGAGGCTTGTGGTTGCTGTTCTCGAGGGTGCTTTCGCGGAAATCTATTCGGCTAATTCGGTTCGGCATAAGGCTCGTCGGCAAACAGCGTATACACATCTCCCCAAAACAAAGCTCTAGGACGGTTCTGGACATCGTGCTTGGTTGTGAATGTTGACTTTCAGCAAGTTCTTTTGACAGTGCCCAGTGTCAGCAGCAGTTCCACCCAAATCCAGGACATACAGTGGCAGCGTCACGACCACCAATCCACGTGTTAGGCGGCTGAGCAAGCAAGTCAGGTACCTTGGCAAACCGTGGGACATAGCTTGGCCACGTAAACGCATGGGAAAGCCTTTCTTCGGCATACCCTGTGTTGAAAGAACTCCAAAGCGTTTCCAAAGCCTGTCTATGTTGCAATGGTGCAAGTTGCTGCAAGACGTCCCGCGAGCGAAGTGGCGGCGGTGGTTTCGGCGCGGCATCATCTTCGGGATGGACCTCTGTGTGCGGCTCCGGCATGGCGCCGGTTGGGAAGTGCAAAAGCTGGAACTCGATGTCTATGTGCAAAAAAAGTGAGCTCTCAGTGGGTGTTGCAATTGTGCAAGCAGGCGTGAATCTTACGAAGCGTGAATGATGGCACACGCGCGCTTGTGTTAATCCCCGTCCCGGTCGCAACTTATGACTTATAAGCCCGAAAATGTTGTTGCCCAGAGATGTTCACGGTCAATTGTGCCGAATACAACGTGCCGTTGCTCCCTGCACTACTGCTTGCACCATGCAGCCAAGTACAGTGGTTCATGATTCTCCACAAGGAAGTCTTAAGTAAGTGTAGGTTCCCTTGCAAATTCAGCCAAGTATGAGAAGAAAACTTCATGAAGTGTGAAGCCAGGCTACGAAACGGCCTACGACCGTTACGCTGTCCATTTTGCTTGCGGGTCGCTAGTGCAGCGGAGCGATGATGCCTGTGCACATGTGGCACCTCAATCCGAGACGGCAACAATACAAATTATCTTCTGGATTTTAACTGCATCAGCAGCAGAAATGGAAGGACTTCTAACAAACTTGCACCGGCTCGCGCAGCCCTGCTGTGTGAGAGGAAGGAAGTGCAGAACAACGTTATGCTTACTGGGAGAACAGCTTGTATCGGTTGGATACCAGTTCCGAGCTCTCATAGCATCGCGAAGGCTTGCTGCGAACTTGTCGCAAGGGCGACAGTGCTCATGATACAGCAGAAGGGAGGTATGTACTGGTCGTTGACTGGTGGCTCCTGCACTTTTACTGACACGGAGCATGTCATGACGTGAAATGAACTAAACAGCCGGTCATTGACCGGAATTGTGCTGGCTCGTGCTACACAAGCTTTACAGAAGCAAAGCCGGCAGGTCATGTCGCACTGAAAAAGAAAAGCTGCCGGGAATTAAGACCACAGGCGGCTGCAAAAGAATTCCAACCAGCGTTCTTCGCTGACGATGCCCCATATGAAAGGCTGCCCTGTAAACCTGGGTGTCTCTACGCACGCACTTGCGCTGGCCACATTGTCGGTCCGGCGCTGGGCACAAGGATGTGCGGGAGGTCCATGGGAGTCGGGACTATCCCGACGGTGAGGCGTTGCCCCACTCTGTATTCCAACAGCTTCGCCTGATGCAAGGCTGGGGAGCCATTTAGGGATTGATCTTTTCAGGTTTTCCTGCGTTGAAGGTATCAGGTTCCATCTCAAACTGCACACCCCAAAGCGCAGCCCAAACCACAGAAGCTGCCGATGAAGCCCCAAATCCTGAAGATGATAGTGCTTCACATCAAACCTACCCCAAACCCAAAACGGCCCGACAGAGACCTCACAGTAAATCCCAAACCCTAAAAGCTATAAACTCATAAACCCGTGGACCCCAAGGCCTAAAACCCTTAAACCCTGAACAAACGACCTGTGCCTCGTCTAGCTCCACTCCAAGTCCTGGCCCTTCCGGCACGTACAAGCGACCTGTGGGCTGAAAGTATTAATGTAAGGGCCTTTAATGCTTTTAATGCAGGGTTTAGGGTTTAATATGGTAAATTATGGTTCAGGGTTTAGGGTATATTTTAGTTTAGGGTTTGGGGCATTGAATATTTAGAATAGGGATATAATATACTATAATCATAACACCCCCCAAAATAGTATAGGTAATTATGTAGGGGCCCTACATGACCCAGCCTCATGGGGGCCTTCGGGCCTTCAGGCTCGAACTCAGGCGTTTATTTTTTTTAATTTTTTTATTTTTATTTTATTTTTTTTT